TCTTTGCCCCGAGACTTTTCTTACAGGCAAATAAATGTACTTTTTCTATGGTATCAAACTATTTCAATCCCCACATTTCCGCATCATACAGTAGAATTGGTTTGATTTTAACATCAAATATTCTGGAAAAGGATGTTAAACTTAAATTTCCTAGTATTTGTATACCACGAAATATACACCAAAGTATTTATAAGAAGTGGTTGTCTCTATGGTACTTTATAATACCATTTTCCCCTTTTTGATAATAAGTCAATAATTTATTTTGTAACGTCACTGGTTGGTCATTATGTAACAGCAAAATCATGATCATCACTTTCAGTATTTCTCTCATTATATACATTTTCAACTGAAAACAATGTTCTAAAGTAGTGAAACCAGTATTGGTTTTGAAACTTTCACGAGACACACGGCAGCTTCAGCCATAATCATAACCACATCTTGACCCTCAGTGTTGAGAAGAAATTGCCATCGGTTTGCAAGAATACCAAAGACATTCTCCATGACTCTCCCTGCTCTGGAGATCCTGTAGTTGGCAATCACTTCAGCTTCTGACAGACCTCTTCTTGAGTAGGATTTCATTAGATATTGATGAAGGGCAAATGCATCATCTGCAAGTATGAAATAAAGCATATCCAGATTATCATTTGGCAATGGTTCAGGTTCGGGCAAGCATATGCTGCCATCTTCTATACACTCCTTCAACTCTGAGGCATTGAAGATTTGTGCATCTTACGTATGACCCAGGCCTCCGACGTCCACCTATAGAAATCTGTAATTAGCCTCTTCAAGGGCCAACAGGACAATGGAGAAGAAACCCTTGTAGTTGTTGTAGAGGCTTCCACTACCAGGTGGCTTACGAATCGCGACGTGTTTTCAATCGAGGGCACCAACAGCATGAGGGAGATTCCATCTCTGCTCGAATTCCAGACTGATGGTCTTCGAATCCCCTTGAGTGACAGGACATGAATCACTGTATCCTTGTAGTAGTCTACAAAGGCTTGGCACACCTCTGGGATGGCTGTGGTGTGTCTTGACACTCTGAAGTGGTAGGAGAGGGAGGAGTACTTGTCTCCAGAGGCTAGATGCCTTATGGTAACTGCTAAATTCAGACCTGTGGGCAGAGCCTTCCTAAAGTTGGTGTCTTTTTTTGTAAGTCTGGGAGACAGGGAATGAAGCAGTTCATCAAACATATCAACAGGCATTCGTAGATAGTTGAAGAAAGGAGACGTGTCTTCGAATCTAAGTTCAGATAGGAGATTGTCATAGTTTCCAAAGTTCAGTCTTCTTTGCAACCTCAACCACGGATGTACTCAAAACCTTCTTTTTGGTGCCTGGTTCCTTCCGTATTGATAGATATCTATCTCCAGTCCCATATGTTGTTGCAGCAGAAGAAGTAGTTGTGCAGCTGTGAGCATGTTACTGGATAATAAGAATCGGCTGTCATCGTCAGCTTTTATAGCAAAGAATTGGGACCATTTTGTGGTTTGGAGGCCGATTTTACGTGTCTTACTCGCTAATTATATATACTTTACTCGGCCTCGATCGGAAATGTTCGCGTGTAATCGGCAATTACGGCAATGAGTCTTCGATATCGTAAGCCTTACATCAATGTGTCGGCGAGCTTCGTGAGGAATCGGGAGTGAATCGTAGACATATCGCCGCAGAAACGTGATTTAAACGTAGCCAATCGGCCAAAACTGGGTGAAATCGTATCAACAACAGGTGCTCAATCGCAGTGTTATCGGCATTTATACGTTATTCTACAGTCTCTTCATCGTCTATTACGTAGGTTTACCGTAGATACTGCGTAGAAAAGGAAAATATAAACAAAAACTGTCCGATTGAGAACGATAACTTCGCAGGTGACGAATCGGGACTAGTCGGGATAGTCTTGATTGGTCGTAGCCCAGTGAAATGGGGGTATTAGAGTCGGAGCCAGATCGCCCGTTCTTTATGTGCATGTTCAGTACAGCACAGCTTTAAATCAAGGAAATATCTACCAAAGTTGTTCATTATCTTATCGGGAGAATAACGTCTTACATTAAAATTATCACATATAGAATTTAGTACTGAAAAGTTTTGATTTTCAACTTGTTCAAGTAGATCATCTTCAACAAAATCTGCCTCTGTACCTGTTCGTGCATTGAAGTCTCCACCGCATAAGATAGAAACATCTTCATAAACATCAGCAAGTATATCTAGGAGACTCTTGAAACAAACTGATACCATTTTAACAAGATAATGACGGTGTGTTGTACCAGGTAGATGATTCTTGGTGTACATAAGCACATGAATATAACAGATCACGATCTAAACCAAACTGTTTTTGAAACATAATACATACATCATTTACAGTAATATTTACCACAGTACAAACTTCTCAAATTCTTTCCTTATCAGACAGATGTTCCACCAGATAGTCTGCTACAGTTAGAAATTCGTTCTGCATGTTTGGAAATAGAAAAGAAGTCTGGAAACACATGTTCTAAACCTAAGTCATCTGCCCAAGTCGCAGTTAAACGTATTGTATCAAATAGGTATCTAATATAGTCAGATTCACAGAGTCTATGTATAAATACCTGATATGTTCCAAAATATAAAATATATGTCTTGAGCTGATATATTTGGGTTTTCCTTAGGCATATCACTATTGTCTTCACAACGATGTGATGTCGGTTTTGTGTCCTGGAGGAACGACGAAGTGTACTGATGGTATTGCTGCTGCTGTTGTTGTTGTCGGTGTTGTTGTGGCTGTGGCTGTTGATTGCTGCTGTTGCCCTGGGGGGAGGTGTTCTCTCTAGAGATATCAGTGGAGGTCTCATTAGATGTGATCTCTCTTGGTTTATCCAGCAGCTTATTCCCCTTAAAGATAAACCTTCTGTCCTAGAAAGCTTTTGTCTCTGTGCTGCTGCGAGGTCATTGGCGATGCCAGTTCCATTCTCCCTTACAATATCCCTCATTCTTACTCTATGACACGTGTCCTCCCAATGCAACATTCTCACACAAAAAACAGGGGCCTATTAGAATCTGATTTCCTCTTAGATCTCCTTTGTGCCCTCTCCATGTCTCTTGGTAATAGTGGTGCTAATTTCGTAACCTCTCTAGCAGTGTTAAGTACATCCAGAACCTTGGCCTTGCTCTCAGTATGACTCTCTTTAGCTGAAGACTCTGGTATGCCATACAACACCATATTGTATCTTCTACTCCTCTGTTCTTAATTCTCTATCCTTTTCTCTAACTCAGATGGGTAGTTGTCTGTATCCATAACCCTGTCATTCAGAGCATCCATATCAACTCTAAGAATATCCTGTTCTTGTTTAATGTCAACCCGTAGAATAGTGATGTCAGACTTGAGATATTTCTTTGACTGATTTGATTTCTCCACAAATCCTATCCTCTGAATCCTGAACCCTTTTCAAAATATTGTTTTGTATTTCTTCCATTAAATATGCCCCGAGCTATCGGCTGACAACAATTTTATCTTACAGACATGCATTCATACAAATCTGGAATATATGTCCACAGTTTCATTAAGTGTTTACGCCATTTTGACACACACGAGCCAAGATGATGGACTGCAGGATTCATTCGCACATTCAGTTCATTTCAGAAACACAGAGATTCTTCTACTAGTTAACTAAAGTTACCCAACACGTGTTTTGATCGATTTCACTTGGAATAATACTTCGCCTGTAAACCAGCTGCATGGAAAATAAAAGCCCGCTCCTTAACCAATCAGTCACGGCTCTCATTATTAAAAATAAACAAGAAAAAAAAGAAGCAAATTTGAGTCTGCAACAATTAATCAACTTTGTGTTGAACAAGATCACTCGAATTCATTTTCCTCGCATAATCGGTCCATGTTGTAGAAACCAGAGAGGTTAAAAGTACTAATGTACTTAAGTAGGTTCCTTACCATTTGACAAAGTCTCATGAAAATGCTTATATTTCCACTCTGTATGTAAAAACACGTGCTCAATTCATTTCTGTAATAAAAAATAGGGCTTACCCTGCTCGTTTTTGAGAAAATGGGGGTTCCAATCTGGGAGAGGGTGTTGAAAAAATCAAAACATCACTTTTTTTTGCTTTTATGAAAATGTGAATAAAATGTTTCATTGATTGAATAATTATGACTTATTTTGAATAAAAGTTCATAGATATATGTGATTTAAGAATAGAAAATCTAATGATTTACGGACGTTTATAAGCATTTTCAATAAAATGTTTGTTTAAGCACATTTTGTTATTGTTTTTCCAATATAACAATCTTGATCAATGAATCTCAAAAATTGTACGAAAAATGATTTATTGGATAGATATAACATTAAACAACATCATTAAACAGAAATATGCATTTGTATCCAGGTTAACTTTAATAATAATCATCACAAATTTCACATGCCAGGTTCACTTCAGATCAAGGGGAGATAACTCTTGTTAGGTCACAACAGACACTGGTTCCAAAAAACTCTTTTTTTCTGCTGGAAATAAACCAAAAGTCTTCTAATTAATTATGGATACATATCTCCAAACATTTTGCATATTCTTACAAGTTCAAACAAGTACATCTATATACAGTTGGTTGATATGAAAACCATGTCAGAGAAAGTAGATATTCTTGCAAAGTGAAGTCATGATTTTAGAGCCAAACAACTTCATTTCCTACAAGGAATAACAAGGTTATAGTTTGCACCACAGATATACCTGAATATTTTCTAACATTTCTCATTCCTATATTACTGTAGTACTGAAAACTGTTTTGATCAGTGAATACGAACAACATAGTGCTTTGAAAGTACAAATCCGCCAGGGTAATAATATGTAAGTAGCTCCTTGAGGAGGCATTAGTGCCTGGATATGAACATGCTGTGGCAGTCAAACTACCCATCAAAAGTCTACACTCTCACTGTTGAAAAAGTACAAGTCAAAATACTTCAATTCTTCACTGACTATACTCACAAATGGTCAAAGTTACAATATGATATCACTTTTCCGGTAAGATTCCTTAGGTTTTGGATAATCTATACAAGTGGTTGTTGAGGCTTTTCTTTGAATGGTTAATGTCACTCCACTTTACTATTTCTACATCGTAATTCTTTCGGATGTGTGACAGAGTGGTTGTATCATCATCCATGATGATATACTTTATGTTTGATTCATCTGTCGAGGATTGCTGCAGGAGCTCGACACCCAGGCTTGACTCCATGGATTTGGCACTGCCAGACCAGTTATACCTGTAAATACATTTATGTAGGAATGAACATAAATGTAATAAAGTAAATACCAAATGGCACATCTTAGAGGCTTTTATTTTTGGATAATCACAGAATGGTTTTCAGATTATGAAACAAGGTGTGTTTGTCAAACACTGATGCCCCCGGGTAAAATGTGTCCTACGCCAAGGTAAAGGTCACAAGGTCTAAATTCATGACCTTATCTGGTAGGTCTTGTTGCAAGGAATACACATGTCAAGTATCAAAGGTAATCACTAACCAACTTGAATCTGTGCTTGAAATAGGTGTTTCTAAAAACAAATAAATTGACTTTGGCAATAAATAGAGCATTATATTTGTGACCATATCCAGGGGATATGAAAGTGATTTATCATCCAAAACTGTGTTCCACAGGAGATATCACTTGTGTGAGATCAGACGATATCTCCTTGGAGATATCGTTTTGACACTAGATTTTGCACAATGCCCTGACAATGCTATGATGTCATGAACTTGATGACGTCACAATGCTATGACATTGCTGCACTGCAAGTCTAATGGCAGTACTGTGTTCAGAGCTGTACATTTTTCACTGAAAACTAATAAAGAGTGATTTGGGATGATAAATAGAATCTCACCCTCGTGTCCTCTGATATCAAATATATCAACACTCGCTGATAAATGTAAAAATATCCTCAGCAAGCCTCGGATATTTGTTACTTTATCAACTTGGGTTGATATAATTGATATCAAAAGACACAAGGGTGAGATTCTCTATATAATGAAAGTAAATGCTATTACCTGCAATCATGTTTAGGCACAGTGATATTGTTCTTGCTTCCATTTTCAGATATCCGACAAGTGTTTTTTTGTGAGCCATAACTAACTACGTTTCCTTTGTTTTGACCAATCAAACATCCATGACCTAAAATAAAACAGGATAATTATTATTATTTTTCTTATCACTTTATTTCCTTTTTCATGGGTACATAATTACTATGGATAATTATTACGCCTTCCATGCTTCAAAGGAATATCTCCTTAACTTCAAGAAGGTTCATGACGAAGGTCGAAGAAATGTAAAATGTTCGAAATAGACTATTGAAAATACAGAAAAATAAATACAAATTCTAGAAATTCACTAAAGCCCTTGTTTTTTTGACAGTGCATCTCTCTGGCTAAATTAGAAGACATGGTCAAAGTATGAAAAGTATCAAGTAAATATTTTTTATGTAATAGGTCGAAGGAAATTTTAACTTTCATGAAAAAGACTAAGTACCAAAAATACAGAAAAATGTGTAAAAATTCTAGAAATTCACGATAGCCCTGTTTTTTGACAGTGCATATCTCTGGCTAAATTAATAAGGCAATTCAAGACATCAGCAAAGTATGAAAATATTCGGGTGCTGCAATTTTTCTTCTGGGACCAAGAATGCTTGCCTATAATACATGTTTACTTAGAGTAGAGGCATGATATGTACCAGTGACCCTAAAGTCACGAAATGAGAAACGAACAAATTTAAAGGTCACATGCAACAAAAAAATCAAACATAATTAAAACACAGTTATCACTTCTTCATGACATATAATATACATTGCTGGTTATGAAAAAACATATAAACCAAATTATAAGTGTACAATCGCAAATCAAAAGTGCAAAATTGTGTACTTTGGTTGACTTCCCAAGAAACGAAGCAGCCGGGATACTGAACCCAGTCAGAGCGTGTGGGTGTACACTCAAGTGTAACGGCTGATTCATTTGCAGATGCCCTCACGGCTAATTGTGTGTGTGTGTGTATATAGAGATGTTGGGTTTTGTAAATACATGCTCATTTTTTGTGTATAACATTTTGCAATCAACAGACATCATAACATGTCATGTGTTCAAGTATCACACCTGCCTGTCTGTGTAATTACATAATGTGACAGAGACCGAACTCGGGCCATAAATCAATGCATTTTGTTTATGGTGTATAGCCTGAATGGTGTTAAGTTCAAATTGCATGTGGTCAGTGATAGCAGCTGTGTATTGAACATTGTCATTAGCAGACAGGCAGGCAGACACACAGGTGTCAATAAAACAAGACATTGAGTTTTGTCTGTGACAACGACATATCTATATCATAGTTAGAAATTCTGTCAGCTAAATAATGACATTGCTTTTAAGTATCGAACTGAGAAAGTGTCACCGGTAAGAAGAATGTGTGGTGAAATAGACAAATGAAATTATATAAACAGTTAATTTACTGTCATAACATATAAAAAGCTCTCGCCTGTGAGATATCAACAAAACATTAGAAAAATAGCTCACACCAAAGCCTTCGCCTAGTATTCACCCGACAGCCCGCTTCCAAGCTGCGCGAACCTATTTACTTGCACACGTGCTATGAGCGCAGCCCAGCTGTTGAAACCCGTTTTCCCCAGAGAAGTCTGGGGAAAATTAGTGAAACGTTTGAACTCTGATTTAGTGTGGTTTTTTTCATCGCGTTATTTTTCAACTTTATAAGTTGAATTTGCATTTTTGACGCTTTGTTTCGGTAAGTCCATACCGAAAGGTATCAGAATCTGCAAAGTTGTGTTTTACGTTGCATGTGACCTTTAAGAAGTCTTAGACTAATGAAAGTTTCAAGAATACAGTCCCAGTCCTACAGCATTGGATAGCATGATCTCACTCTACTAGTAGTGCACAACAAAATATGTGTTACCCAACATAAGTGAAGTAACAGACTTGCCTGATTTTGAATTGTAACTGCCAGTACTCCTCCTCTGCCAGCCCATGTCATAGCTTGCTGTATGTTCAACTGGTTGAGAATTGTCATCTGTTGTTTCTCTGGCAAGTGTAAATTGTAATCTCTACCTGAAGGGATTCCTGTGCAACCAAAAATATTAAATTGAAACTATTTTTTTTAAATGTACCTAACTGCAAGCCATACGAAATTGTCCTAATTTCAAAGTGTATATGAGTGTTATCTAGAGTAACAAATAGACTAACATCAATGAAAAATGAGACAATGAATTATTATGTTATTTTGTGGCTGCAGCCTTTCTTCTTTAACAAAATCCTATCTTTGTGTAGAGGGTGCATTACTCTTCCTACTTTAATAATATTCTACTTGAAAAATAAATACAGTGGAATATAACTTATCTCTCATCGAGAGGCGGGTTAAGTATATAATACAATTGGTTATGTGTCCTTTTGTGGTATTTTGCTTATATTTTGCAATACACGTACCTGGCATGAATTACGGGCTACTTCTTCAATCAGTGGTCCCATTTCTCTCTCTCTTCTCTTCAATGTGCGATCAGATAAGGGTGGTATATTCATTGCAGCCAGCCAGTTGGACACACATGTTTGTCCAAGCCCAGAGTGCAGCATAGCTGTAATATCAATATTATAAATCAAACCATAAAAAATGATGACAATTATATTTAAAACGCAGACCAATGATGTTCAAACCGACTTTAATTTCCATAATAATTACAGACAGCAAACCGAGTTTCTTTTATATGATAGGCCTTGCGGCAAGATATGTTATTTGTTTTCCACAAGAGGACAACTGTTCAGCATTAAAATTAGTAAAGTTTCAGTTTTCATTAGCTGTAATATCTGCACATTACATGGATCATTATTCAATTATCATAAGTAGTTGCAAAAAGAGTGGTAAACATAAGAATGCTTTGAAAAAAAATACTCATTCTGTTTTGTCAAGGATAGTATGTGAACAGCGTGTATGAGAGTAAAACATGCAAAGCAGGAGGGTGAAGAAAGTGGGTTAGGAGTTTCAAGGGAGTGAGTTATATAGGCTGAAATAGATATGACTACGAGGCACTACTCTACTGAGGTCTTTCATATCTTATTACTTGGTTTACAGATTTAAAAATGCTAATGACCTTTCAGAAATAGATGTACATGTTCTGCCCACATCTTTCATTGTATTTCCCCTGAACAAGCAAATTGTCCCAAAATGACAATTTATTCATTTATCTGATCGATGAAATGGCTGCACTGTTTCGTAAACCAAGTTATGAAACATCTCTGTGTAGTTGATGATACTTACTCATGGTATTGCATACTGTAATTGAAATATTTGATCATAATTATTCATAACTTTTTAAAATAGATTTATAGACATTATTTTTTTAAAATAAATAGCCTATGACATTTATTTCATGGATTTAAAAATAATAATACTGAAAGTTAAAGTTAAAACTTATGTCTTCAACATTTGACAATATTTAGTTACAATGAAACGTTAACTTTTGTACATATATTTCATACCTGCAGCAGCTTTAGTGTTGACATCATAAATGGGTACACCACGATTACCAGTTGCAGCATTCTTGTGACTTTTCCCGTTAGGAGCGCTGTTTAAAAAAACACACTCACACTTTATATACAGGAGGCTAGCAAGTCCAATCCTGGTTTCTGACTGAATGTTCTGTAGAAGCAGATGGCTAGAGCACTCACTGCAATAGAGTCCCTTGCAGAGCGTATCAAATTCCACAATTCTTCGACCAGTGATGCACGAAAACTGGGGCTCTGTCTGAAGTCCGTCTGTCCGTGTCACACTTTCTCCTCTGTCCGAAACAGCTGTTTCTTGCAAATCAACACACTTATCGGTAAGGTCACTCCCAAAGCGCTTGTATGTTGACTTTCTTATCTTGTTTTCCCTCTTAAATGCCCTTGATGACATGAAACGTCCCTTTCGCAATCTATCCATCGTTGTTAACAGTTCGCGAACGGAAGTAATTGCTATCAGTGGAATTTACCGCGAGGTAAGGAAAAGATAACTCTTTCACCGGATACACGCTGTTACATGCAATTGGTGTACAATCAATGGTATGGAACCTCCTTAACTGTCAGTATTGATAATTTGCAACAATTACCGCTGTACATAGACTAATTTGACGTAATTGATTAATTAATGCATGCCTGGCGAGACTAATCAGATTGACTCACATTCTGCAGTCATTCCTAACAACAATAATGCGACAGAGTGTTTACTATCGTCAGTACTGTTGACTTCTGTAGTTGGATGTAAAGTAAACTGTCTGTACTGTTACCCTGTGAGGAGGTTCAGACAGGCTAATCTTACATACCCACTTCAGGAACAGGCCCCCTTCACTAAATCATTGTAAGTATAGCTGTCGTAATCTTACGTTATTTAGGCTTAATAGTGCATACTTGCTTCCACAGGGGATGGTCATATATCAATCAACATCTCGTGGATGAACACCGAGTGAAGTATATTTATATAGCGCCTGCTTCCAAAAAGGATTTGCTTAACGGCGCTGAAGAAGAAAGTCTGAAAAGTCTGTGAAAGGAAGATTGTTAACAGGTGTTTTTTTAGGGCTTTTTAAAGAGTCTTTAGAGTTAATTTCTCTGATAGGGAGGCTGTTCCAGAGTAGTGAAGCTGCAGCTGAGAAAGCACTATCACCCATAGTAGTCTTGGTGGTTGGCTGGGAGAGAAGAAGTGAGTTGCTGGGAGTATGGGGAGTTACTAGGTTCTTCAGATATTTTGGAAAGTCATTATCATAAATGCAGCTGTGTGTGAGGAGAAGCTTGAAATTGATTCTGATTTATCAATTATATGTTCGCATATGTGTCGAGATATTCTGTTTTCATTTGGCATAAAGTATCCGAATATTGTCAGCAAATAACTGTCAAAATTGCAAATGTATTTGATAATGGAAATTATGTTTCACGATTCGTAGTGTGAGTCGAGCACAGCGCAGCTTTGTGATGTCCTAGATTTGAAACGAGGTACATTTAAGAGAGCAGCTCTTGGTCAATCTATATTCTGTACAAAGAAATGTGAATTCGATAAACTTGTAGATGTTATTCATATGAAATGCAGTAGCACGTGAGTCCATCTAAATCAGAGTATATAACATTAACTAATGTTTTAATCCCCAGATAGTATTTGGATTTTCTTTATTTGTTTGCATTACACACAACCACTGGTATTCAAAATGATGGCGTAAATCCTGCTGGGAAATCATTCAAGAATCAGAAGTCCACATAATTCCCAGTGAGGTGGAATAACTTTGGTTGCTAGTGGTTTTTAGCTTAGTTTTAATTCATTAATATATACGGTTTGGACCTGGATTAGATCAGGATTATGTCGACTCCATGAACAGTTTCTGGACAGTCCTTCTATTAGTCGTGTGGTCTGTGGGACCATTCGAGATGCGTTACATAACTACACCCATCAGTTTTGGTGCCCAGTTTTAAGCCTAGTTATAATTCATTCAAAACAATTCTGATGAAAAAGTATTTGTCTTAATATTGATGTGTCTTTTATACGTAAACTGGGAGTCGTAAAGTCGCAGTTTGACTTTTTTTGTCAACAATATCTAACTTCTTCTCATCGCGATATGGATGCAATACTGTCGATGTGATGCAAAATTTAAGTCACCCATTAACTTAAATACGATACATAGAATATATACTGAGTCAAAAAAGAAACTTCACATTCTTTCTTCAGGGCACTATAAAAGAACGAGAGATGGTAAGATGGTTAAATTGTTATTATTTCATTGCTGAGATCTGTGTGATGTACTCAATACACTGACAGTGCCATAATCAGTTCCATTAGGCTACACCGCCGTTCCAAAACATGGGTATACAGAATGTATCACGTAATGATAAATCCCGTTTCTCGCCTTCTCACCTTTTTCTTAAAATAGCCACAATGACAAGGTCAAGAATACGTATTTTGTAGTTTGATACTGTAACTTCTGCTTTGCTTTCCTATTATATTGTTGTCTGATGACATTAAAGTGTTGAACAATAAACACATACATTCTGGTGCTACACTTGTTGTGACGCTTGTCAGGGTATATGGCAGATCCAGTGTGCACCTGAATAGCCGTTGCACGGCGAACGATCTTGTGCAGATATAAAGGAGATTTGACAAGAAGAAATATTTGGACTCATATTTTATATATTTATTGCTTATACACCTGCAGAAATCACTTGTTTATACATATATATATATATATCATATATATATACATGTATATATATATATATATATAAGAATATATATTTCTTATGTGTACATGTGTAGAAATATTTAGATGGAGTATTCTTACCAATGATTCTTAAAAATATTTACAATAATATTACAGAATGAAGCAAGTTTTCTTAAATAGCTATCCTATTGATATTGAGTAATGTATACATTTTATGAAAATTTGGTATGGTATAAAATTATGGCTTTAAATATACTGAGTCAAAAAAGAAACTTCACATTCTTTCTTCAGGGCACTATAAAAGAACAAGAGATGGTAAGATGGTTAAATTGTTATTATTTCATTGCTGAGATCTGTGTGATGTACTCGATACACTGTCAGTGCCATAATCAGTTCCATTAGGCTACACCGCCGTTCCAAAACATGGGTATACAGAATGTCAAGTCACAAGAATATAAATGCGAAATTTCTCAGTTCAATATCGTGTATGGCCGCCTAACGCATTCACCACTGCCAAACACCGTCTCCTCATCGACTGCCTGATGCTTGTGAACACGCGGTTGGGGATTCTACGCCATTGCTCTTGCAAGGCAGCGCCAAGTTCCTGCAAATTCTGAGGCTGGTTCCTAAGACCACGAAGCCTTCTCCCAAATGCATCCCAAACGTGCTCTATTAGATTAAGGTCAGGGCAGCTCGATGGCCAGTCCATGACGTTGATTCCAGCGTTTTGAAGGAAGTTTCATGTCAACATCGCGGTATACGGCCGAGCAATATCATGCTGGAACTGTAGACCTGGGCCATGAGCCGCCATGAAAGGAACGAGTTCAGGGGTGAGCACCTGGTCGCGGTAAGCAGCAGCTGTGAGGTTTCCACGGATGACCAGAAGTCGGGAACGGTTGTTCCCACAGAAAGCACCCCACACCATGCAACTTCCGCCTCTGAATCTGTCGACTTCCTGTACACAACATAGGGCATACCGTTCACGACGTCGTCTCCAGACTCTATGCCTGCCGTCCGCGAATCTGAGGGTAAACCTGGATTCATCGCTAAAGACATCTCGATTCTCTGGGTCCATCGGAGGTAACGTTGGGCCCAAAGCAGACGTTGACGTTGATGAAATGGCGTCAATATTGGCCCACGATATGGACATCGAGAATGGAGATTGGCAGCCCGCAACCGATTTAGAATGGTCTATGAGGACAGTCGACCTCTAAACATCTCAGCCCTAGTTCGTGTAGCCGGCAGAAATCTGTCACGTAGGTGACGTAGGGCGATTTGACGGTCTTCTGCTCGTGACGTCACACGTGGACGACCCGACCTTGGGCGATCAGAAGAGGTGCCAGTTTGTTGTAGACGACCTCGCAAGTCATACACAGTACGACGGCTGCAACCCATTGCTCTTGCGACGTCAATAACTGATCTTCCCGCTTGCAACATGCCAACGGCACGTTCATGTTGCACATTTGACAATCGTGGCATTTCAAGTACCGTTTGAACTGTGGTTTAAAAGTGTTTTTTCAATTCTTGAGGCCAATGCAAACACGTGCATATGAGGAAAACTTCGATACGAAGATCACGTGATCGACTGCACGTTCAAAACCTGATTTGGCACTAACGTCATTTGCACGACGAATGGATGGGTTTGAGTGGGTTATGCTAAAGTTTTTCTAGAGTCCAAAGATAGGGATCCCTTTTCGGATACATAGATGTATCATCAGAGAAAAATTATTCATTATTTTTCAAATAACATTTTGTGAAGTTTCTTTTTTGACTCAGTATAGTTTCTGTGCACATCTTTGAAATCAATTCTGCAATAGGTGCGAACCTTTCTTACTCGACTGAGCAATGCTGTTTTGGTTTTGTTTTAGACAACAATGGCAGGATTGAGAGCATGGTTTGGACGTGGATTAGATCAGGATTATGTCGACTCCATCAACAGTTTCTGGACAGTCCTTCTATTAGCCGTGTGTTCTGTGGGATCATTCGCCATGCGTTACATCACTACACCCATCAGTTGTTGGTGCCCTGCTCAATTCGAACAGTCTCAGTACTCGTACACACAGGAATCGTGTTTTCTGAAGGGCTTGTATTATATGAAGCCAATGCCTAATGATTATGACGAAAAAACCGGAACCTGTACCCTCCTATCACCTCTGGATACCACTCATACTCTTCATCCAAGCCCTGGCTTTCAAACTACCCAACATCATCTGGAACAGCAGCAAGCACTTGCTTACTTTCAATATGGAAGAAACCGTGGAGTCCCTGAAAAGTGTACAATTGACCAATGCCGAGAATAGCCAGGTCATGTTCAGTGATGCAGCCCGAGTATTTGGAAGTCTGTTGAGAAGAAACCGAATCATTTTGGCTCTTCTGTATCTATTTGTGAAACTTCTCTCCTGTGTCAATCTGATAGCCCAGTTTGTGTTCCTAACAACATACTTCAGACAATACCTGGCAATCAGGGTTGGATCCTATGCAGGTTTTGATATGGACTCCATTATAAAACCTTTGCTTGTAAAAGATGGTTACTGCAATTTTCTAATTCACCGGATGACGACAACCTACGATTATACAGTTCAGTGTACTCTACCAATCACCGAAATCTATGAGAAGATTTTCACCTTCCTGTGGTACTGGATCTTCCTCCTGGCTGCCATCACCATCCTTAACCTTGTCCTGTGGGCAGGATTTCTCTTCCTTCCATTCCTAAGAGATGGCAGGATAGCTGCCCATGTCAACGCTGCCAAAGGAACTCGCCCTGATGAACACTCTATAACTCGATTCATCAGCACTTTCCTTGGAATAGATGGAGTACTTGTCTTGTCCATGATCTCCTGGAATTCCAGTGAGCTGGTTTCAGCGAAGCTCACCCAACATATGTACCAAGTGTTTCGGGAAAAGGAAGAAGAATTTCAAAATGCACGAGAAATCTACGCAGGAGAGCCTGGAGGTGGAGCTGGAGCCACGGGAACAGAAGCGGCGTTACCAATGATTGATCTCGCCTCTGGTACCCCTAATATGGAGAAAGTGCCGATTCTGTGATGACCTATACACTGGATTTGTTTACTCCAGCTAGTATAATTTCAGTCAACTACTTATTTATCTAAAGGTCTCATGGGGCAGAGTCTTTGTGGATGATAATTTGGAACATTTTGAAGCGGAGGCATCATTTCCATAACATTGGAAACATGGTCGGCAAAAACTTTCGTTACACTGACAGGCTACTCTATTTACTTTGGTTAGCATTTTAGTTGTTACTGGGTAGCGGTGTTATCTTACTTTAAAATATACATAATAAACTCACAACCTCTTGTTAGTACTTTATTGATGAATGCATCATGTCGTGTTGCGTATGAACGTGGAAGTAAGTGGGGTTGGGCTGAGCACATGTAGTTTTCATATTAATCACTGGAACTCACACACGAATGTTAATAAATCAAGATTCTGAGTGACGGATTTGCATTGAAATTATTCCTAAGTTTAAACGAAGACAAACATTTTCATATGGTTGATTATTTTAAACAGCATGCCCAAGTACTTTTGTATTTACTATGCCTAAAAAGTAGGAGACATTGAGAGTCATAAAGACAAATCTTCTGAACCACCTGAAAGGAAATCTTAAGTTCAAATTTGTTCTAAAGGTCGGTCTGATGAGAGTGTGGCGTACAATGGCTCTGAAAAGGTCGCTGGTCAAGCTACTTTGAAGCAAACATCACTGATATAGGGTGATACTACCTCTGTTGGGTATACATGCACAATGCATGATTCTGATGAGTCGACCAGTGACAGCTTGGCTCATATTGTTCCCCTGGTCATTGAGAGCCGCACTCTGTTCATTGAGAGAGTAGTGGGTTGATTTTGACGTTCATCTACACGTCTATAGCGGCCAGAACTGGGATACGACCAGAACAAGGATAAACAGCCCACAATTTCGTAAAACCCTATCTACTGAGACACTGCCCCCGGTCAACGCTAAGACTTTTTGGGGATTTTTTGTACATGTTTTCGTGGGGTAACACAGAATTAGATTTATCATATACATATTGTTTTGCGAATATTTACCCACTCTTATTTGGAAACACCTTCAGAATTTCTAATTATTTTTGTACTTGTCAATTATTCACTTGTTCTTATTGTGTGGCAATCCCCACTCACAGCAAGACTCTCGTGATTTTCATAAAAAAAGTGTTATTTTAAAATGCAAACATAATGTAATCCGGTATTGTTTGAAAAGGAAAATCTTAAATGAAATCTGTTTTTGCATCACTTAAAAATACAGAATCGTTCATATTAATTAAAATCGTTCAAGCACTAATTTATGTTTCTTAAATTATGCTGATTCTTTGCGTTGTAATAAGCTTTGTAACTGTAAACAAGTTTCCGTATTCAGATGTTCGGGGCCGAATTTGCTGCATTCAGACTAAAAGGCAAAAGACATTGGGTATAGCATGTTTTATATATCGCTCAGAACGAATGAAGTGAGAGTCTGCATATCATGTAATCAGGGCGATAGAAGGGAATGGATATATATCGCAAGTGTTATATGTCACTCAGATCGATTTTTGACAGAAGGGGTATTGGATATGTTGTATTGTGCACTCCTCAGAATGCTAAGATGTCGGACACATGCATCTTCTAAAATCTCTAACGTTCATTGCTATTTGACACAACCTATCCACTCACGCACGCTATATAAGTGCCTTGATCTTAATTTCACTTCAGCCATATATACGGGAATCCCTCTGCCAGTTTACACATAGAAGCTGTAATATTTTCGATGATGACAGGAAATATGATATCCATGTAATATTACCGATGGAAGCTGGGCAGTATCCCATGAATATAATATTCCTGATGGAGTCAGGAAAGCATGATGTCACCGAAATATTCCCAGTGGAAGCTGGGCAGTATGAAATGATTCATGAATATGATATCATAACCATATGTTATAGTAACGAACACCCATATTGACATAATTACAATTCAAGTAGTCATGAAGTGTAAATATGTCCCACTTTAGTTTCATTATCTACATTTGCATATTATTAAATCTAAATGAGAACTGAAGACATTTTGGAGAAACAATTCCATCATCTACCAGCAATACAACCAAAACTACTTATTGCATATAACAGATCATCATCACCATTCTTTTATTATTTTAGATTTCTTTATTGTAAGAGAAACAATATAAAGTCACATCCAGTACCTATATATACTGAACAGCAAAAGAAACGAAAGTTTCGAAAAATTCAATTTCATGAAGGTAAGCGTTCATGTTTATGGAGCGTTCATGGTAAAGTGACGTAATGATCCCAGATGAGATGATGCCATGCAATTTGACGTCCATACGAACCATTCGCACAAACACACCAACAGTGCAGCAAAACTATTATTTTAGCACGTGCATCGACGGTTATGGATGAAAAGCATGCATTTCACTCTGAGGTATCCTTTATAAAGGTTTGTGTCAAAGAACAGTTCAGTATTGACACTAAGGAGGTGTACACGCCACACAAACGATGCCTAGACTAACGACTGAACAGAGGGGAATGGCCATTGGAAAGTTACACGGAGGACTGCAACCGCTGTAGCTAGACAATTGGGCTGTCATCTTACCACCATTACACGACTTGCTCAACGTCATCAGCAAAGCGTGTTGCTGCTGATCGTCCCCGTACCGGACGGCAACGAGTGACAACTCATGCGCAAGATCGGTTCATCCGGGTCACTCGTCTAAGGAACTGAACTCAAGCAGCAACAGTAACAGCAGCCTTAGTTCTTGGGTCAAGGGGAGCAGTGCCAAGCGAGACGATTAGGCGTCGTCTTCGGGCTGCTGGAATCCACTGCCGAAGGCCATATGTGGGGCCAATTTTGGCACGTCAACAACGCCAGCGACGTTTGCAGCCCTCACACAGCAAGGGTGTCGATGGATTATCTGGCTCAGAACTACATTAACGTCTCTTTCCCCGGATATGGCTCCCATTGAACATTCTGGGACGAAATTGGACGGAGGATTGCTGCAGGTAGACAGCTACTCACACTTGCACAATTGGAATAGAGATTGGTGTTTGAGCGGAACTAGTTGCATCAGGCATTCTTTAAAGAACAAATAAACTTTGTTTTTTTCTACTCTTTTAACTATTACATATGAAAGATTTGTGGTCAGTCTTATGCGGAACACCACATTCATTCTCAAAGAACTTGTGGTTAATTAATACCGATCGATTAAAAGTTGCCAAAAAGTCGCCTGCTTCGCTCTCGCCCGCCAACGAAACCACAGACAGGTTACGTAACTCTGTCGCCAGAACACTGCAGTGACGTCATATGAGGAACGATTTTCAGTTAGTTGTAAAGAATGTGTTTAGCACGCTCATCATTTTGATGATTTCTCGACATCAACGACGACATGCCGAATCGTTGCTTTGTCGTCAATTGCTCCTAGGGGTCGGGCGATGGTGTCACCATGCCCAGATTTCCACAGGACCTCACAGTTCGTGCTAAATGGGTTATGTTTGTGAGTGCGAAGCGAGCGTTGTGGAAGCCTGAAACGATATCTTACTTGTGTTCAGATCGCTTCACGGAAGTTAAAGAATCAAAACTACTTACTAGTTGTAGTAAAATATGTAAATGATTGATGACCATAAAGATTTTCCATGACACAACTTGGAACATAACGATTTCTTCCTCGATAGCGAGAGTGTAGTCGAAGTAACAATAATACTGTAAGTAGTATTATATTGACACCCACCTCGCTGCTACGAGAGAAATTGTTATGTTATAAGCTATGTCATGCAAAATCCTATTGGCCATCAATCAAATACATATTTTACTACCAGTAGAAAGTAGTTTTGATTTTGTAACTCGGTGAAAACAAACCTAAATAGCATTTATCCTCAGACTGGCCGATGTTCGCGACAGGGCGCCGCCATTTTTGAAAATCGTAAAGTGACGGGCTAAAATCTGTTAGAATTAATGAGATTATGGTTTGTTTTCATCAAGTTAGAAAATCAAAACTACTTTCTACTCGTAGTTAAATATGTATTTGAATCATAACCAAAGGAATTTGCATGACACAACTTAGCTATAGAACATAACGATTTCTTCCACGGAAGCGAGGTATGGGTCGAAGTCACAATACTGCGCGATAAATTTCTTGCTACATTCTCGTGGTTAACGTCCACTCACCAGTATGTAGATACTAGTCAATGTGCGTCTTTATATTTGGTCGTATAATCCTGATTAGTTTAATATCATATCTGCTGATACTTATAGTGCATTTATAACAGGACTGTAATATCTAGACATTGTATAGTTTTCCAATGTGAATCATAATTCGCACACACACCCTGGTGTATGTTGTCTGTCTCATTACACTTCACGGTGAAAACAATGATTCTGTTGAATGCTACGACAAATGAATAAAAACAAAATGCAAATATTAAAATTAAAACAGATTAAAGTTATAGGAACAATGTCAGGCTATTACCCTGTTCGAGGAATGTATCCATCAATATCCACAAAAACGAGTGATATGCCATTCATCTGCAGCTGTTCCAAGTGATGTGTCTGTCTTTTAACAGTTTAATATACGAACAAGTGATAAATCTTTTCAGGTATTTCACATTGGTATATAGTCTCATTGGTCACCCAAGATAGCACACCTGGCAACTAATTGCATAATGTCCGCCTTTCTTTAAAAACAGTAATTTAGTTAGCCAATAATGGGCAATCAATCAATGTATTGCCGGTTAATCCTTTGAAAGAAGGACGTTGTTTTTACGCAGACACCGACATGACAGAGTGTGTTCAGTATAGATGAGTAAATATACATACATACACACTACCTTTTGACAAATCCGCTGTGTAAGATAAAAGTAATTAATCAATCAGCGTGTTATCGGTTAAACGTTTGATCGATGTTTCTAATGTTGAATATTTACTCCAGACACAAGAAATGCCAAATGGGAACCTTTGTCGGGTAATCTAAGTGTGTTACCACTAATTATACCTGTTATAAATTCATTAACTGACCATCAAGT